AACCCATCCCTGTTTTGCTTCATGGAAAAGAGCTTTGTGGCCTTTTTTTTTCCCCTGGGGTGATCCTATCACTAAACCCATCACCTTTTAGAAAAGCTGGTCATTATTAAACTGTGGGCAAGGAAGAACTCTAAAGTTACCATATGATTACATCTTTGAACCGCACTCTTCATGACAGAATGAAATAGTTAAGAAGGCAGCTCAATTGGTCCTTTCTGTTGGTTGATACCAAGGAAGCTTGATGTGCACTCAACATATAGCTAGTTTAAATATCTGTGTGAAACGAGTCCTATACTGAGATGTTCCCAATCCAGAAAAGAAATGTATCTTTCTCAGTGAATCAACATTCATATCAAATTTTTAAAAAAGGAAAAGGAAGAGCTTTCTCTAAACTTCAATTTCTAAGTTTCTGAACAAGAGCAGATTAAAGCATCGCTCGGCTGTAATGATCGTTATCATGTGTCTTCCTTGGCTTTGTTTATCAGAAATAATACTTTTTTTCCTGATATCTGCCTTGAATGTAGCAGCATGTTATATATATTTAAACAGACATAAAGATATGAAAACATGATGTGCATCACACACACACATGTATATTAGAGTAAGAATTAGTATTTGCTCAAGGATGCCGAAATCTTGCATGATTTATGCATTTTCTTTATATACTGTACAGTATTCATTCAGGGCTCTGTGGAGGATAGTGAAACATAGCTTCTGGGTGCCTAAATCATGTTTGGATTGGGATACTAGTTCTTCAGTTAAAAAGGTGGGGGAGGGCCTTCAGGTTTCATATATTTAAGGCAAGATTCGTGAGTGATGGCAGAGCACAGGTTCTGTATGCAGAAAAATGAAGGTTTAATTTCTGGAAGGAATGTTCAGGAGCTCATGGGAATGAGATGCCGGAGATACCACAAACTGAATTGAAGAGCTTTTCCTACCCTTGAACCCTCCAGAGGTACCACAACTGCTTGTATGCTGGCTGAGAAGTCTAAGGCTTCCCTGGCTGAAATATCTGGAGGACACCAAGTTGAGGAAAGCTGTAGTAGATCATGGAATGATGAATCAATGGTCTGGTTGAAAACAATGAGAGGAGAAGCACAAAAGGAAGATAAATGATGATGTTATCCTTGGGAATGCCAGATCATAATGATCTGTTTTGATTGGCATGCCCAGATCTCCAAGAAAGATCTGCTTGAAAATGGCAGAGTTGAATGCTGAGGACATCTCTTTTCCACAATGGTAGGTGAGCATTCACTGCAGGCATGGAAATGGCAGACAGGGGTGGATCCTGGAATGATTGCAAGCATCGGATTAGATCACATGTGATCACAGAAATGCTCACCATGGTCCTGAGACCCAGCCTCACCTCACGGGCAATCTCCATGGGGGGTGGGGAGAAAGAAGGGGGAAGGAAGAAAGGGTCAGATAGTGTGGCTTTCTCGTTTTTTCCCCCCTCTTGCACTTCAGCCAGTATCTATCTCTACCTGTATAGATTTTGGTAAAACGTTAAGTTTTGGAATCCTCTTTATGTATTATTGTAATGTACCCAAATGTTACAATGAAGGGGAAAATCCCACAATACAACCATCCGACTTTTCTTTCACAACAAACAGGCAACAGAACTGGAAAAGAAATGGTCATAAAAATGTAGAGGGAAAATAGGTAAATTAAAAAAAAAAATTAAGAGATGGCAAAAAGTAATTATTGACTCCTTCTCCCACTATCTTTGTAAACTATAGCCAGCCCCACTGAGTTTAGCTTGATACTTGCAGAATAATATGTCCAAGAACACGCTATACAATGTGAAGTTGCAACTTTTGCTGTTTTAATTTTAGCTTTATTTCACTAATCTATTGACAACCGAACCTAAAGGTCTCAGCTTTGCTAGTTCTACTTGCATTCATGGACCAATGGAACCATGTATTCCACATGCACATCTGTCCATGCATGTACACACACACACACACAATTTTTTTTTTCACAATAAAACATTGTGGAACTAGATGCTAAAAGCTTATATGACCTGACTACTCTGTTGTTTTAATGGAGGGGGGGGAAGGCTGCACAGATGTTGATGACAAATATAGCATTATAAACTGATACATCAGATTAAGATGCCTTTGACAGTTGAGCTGTTACATGGCAGGCAAGCCATTTGCTGCAGTGCTCCTGGCACCGTGACAAATAAACATGAGCCTTGATGGGTCCTGCGTATTCCTCAACTGGGAAGTAGCAGCTGTTCTAACTCTCTGGAAGGAAACATCAGTTCTTAATAAAAGATGGTTTAGAGGCCTTCACATCTAGGAGCCAACCAGAGAGATGATGCACACAGTTGTTGCATTTGAGTGTGTGTGTGTGTGTGTGTGTGTGTGTGTGTGTGTGTGTGTGTATAAGATGCTTTCATGACAGGTTGATCATTACTGCTTGAAATGTTTGCAAGGGAATCTTTGGATGGTAGAAACTTTCATTTGCGGTCCATCAGATGTTTGCAAGCTATTCATTCGGTGTATTAAAAAAAAGGAACCCCCTTTTTAAGAAACATATCAGAAAGGAGAAAGGGAGATGGTTCAACCTGTCAATATGTTGGAATTAATTATTGTGGTATTAATGGAGGGAATGAACAATCATACCTCGGCCCACATCGTGGACAAGAGAATCGTACAGTGTCAAAAGCACATTCTCTGTACCTGTGTCCGTCCCCCACCCTAATAGTATTTTGCTCCACAAAGAAAACTGCACTGCAAGAAGAACTCGTAGAACTATCCTTGATCTCCACATCCTCCTTTGCTGTTGCCTCCCTCCCTTCACTTGATCATCTATGAATCGTAGAGTATGCATATTGTAATTCCTTCACCTCTGTGTGGGGTAGGAACAACCTGAAATGCTTGTGTGAGTCATTTTCCTTCCTTGGTGGTTACCTTTCAATAATTGAAACAGAATTGTTGTGGGCAGTAAATCCTCTTTTTTTTCCATTCAGAGCAGAGAGACTGTTACAGTAATGGCCAAAATTGTGGAAACTTTTTGGGAAAAGTGTATTTTTGAGGTTTGATGGCTAATAACACCACTTTTTTTTTTTTTTTTGAGTTTCAAGATAATCCTATTCCACTGCTGGAATGGCCTGGGAATAGCCCAGACCTTAACCCAATGGAAAATCTATGAAGCTGACTAAAGAAACTGGTTAGTCAGAAGAGACCCAGCAATAAAACCCAGTTAATAGAAGCAATCCTTCAATCTTGGTTTCACATTGTAACAGCTGCAGAACTCAAAGACGTGGTTCTCCATGGGAAGACTTTGTAAGGCCGCAATTCATGCTAAAGGTTACCCAGCTAAGTATTAACTGACATGGGGATAATTTTTGTATATCTCGTTTTTTCTATGGTGATAATTTTTGTATATCTCATTTTTTCTATGTGTTTCACTTTTCTTCTTTAGACTGCTATTCTAATAGCAAATCCTTCATAAAAGTTATTGCTTTACATTTTTGATTAAATTATCTTTCCATTGATATATAATTTTATGATACTACTCCCCCCCAAAAAAAGAGGTGTTATTAGCTAGTTTTAGAAAATACACTTTTCTCAAAAGGTTTCCACACTTTTGGCCACTACTGTATGCAGTGGGTCAAAGTAAAGTTTTGCACAAACCTCACTGCTTATCTAAGTCTCCACAATCTCCAACACATGGGAGTGTCTTCACTGGGGAGTCATTACTATACATGGCCGTACATTGAGCTGTATATGCTTGTAGACGTAGCATGCTTGGCAAGTACAAAAGAGTCAGCATGTGGCTATTTCCTTCCCCTGAAACCTGGAAGCAACTCTTCGGAATCCATGACACCACTGGGCAGCATTATGACATTTGCTACATTAACAGATTGGATGCAGGTCCTAGCTAACGCGGAATATCTTAGGCCAGTGATGGCTAACCTTTTTGGCACCGAGTGCTGAAACTGGAGTGCACATGTGCGTGCCGGAGCGCTGGAACCCGGAAGAGAGCAGCTGACTGGTATGTATGCTCTCGACAGCCACCTGCTCTCCGGGTTCTGTCATGTGCATGCACCGGACACCTGGTCCAGTGTGCATGCGCACCGGCCAGCTGCTCTCTTCTGGGTTCTGGTGCACACATGCGCACTGGCCAGCACGCCAAAACCTTGAAAAGCAGCTGGCGATGGCGCGCATGCCATAGGTTCACCATCACGGTCTTAGGCTAATTGTCCTGGGGCCGGAAAAGGGAGCACTTTTCTGAACATTTTTCCCCGGTGCTTTGTCATAAACACATGCATGCAAGAGGAAAAGGGTTTCTGCATGTCCTGGTTTGGGTACAGAACCCTAACCTGGACTATTGACCACTTGGTTTAAGAAAAATGAGGGTTTCATGTGGAATTCTTTTTTTTTTTGGAAAAAAAACCCCAGATAAAGTTGTTTCTGTACTTCTAAAGCTCTTGGACTTTCATGCTCAAGGAAGGGGCCAAAGGCAGGGCAGCTGAGCTACTCTCTTACCCCTAAAGATGGTCTCTCCATGGCAAGGCTGAGGCACAATGGTGAGGCAATGCGGGAATGTTTGTGGTGCTGTTGCCTCCCAGGTTGTATCTGCTCTATAAATAAATACAGGACTTTAGTTGTCAGAGCTGACATTTTGGCACCTTCCATAAAGACATAAACATATGGGATTTCAAAGGGGGAAAAAAAGAAGAAAACAGGCATTATTTAATAATTTTTTAAAAACCAACAAGACCACCCTGTATTTCAGAGGTCTTCGAACTTGGCAGCTTTAAGACTTGTGGACTTCAACTCCTAGAATTCTGGGAGTTGAAGTCCACAAGTCTTAAAGCTGCCATGTTTGAAGACCTCTGCTGTATTTCAATGTCTTCATCTCCACCAGAATCCACTGAGCGCACCTAACACTTTCATGCCTCCATTTAGACCTCTTTTCTCTTTCTCCCCCTTGGTCCATGTTTTATACTCCCTCCCCATAGTTGTGATAGAATAAAAGTTATGGACCTCCTTCGGTGTTTCTTGATGACAACGGTTGCTGCTCCACCACAACTCGAGGGCAGCCACCAGGCAGGCCAGGAGTAGGCCGATGGCTAAAATGCAGAAGACCCCTGCAAAGCTGTGCAACTTCAAGGCTTTCCCATCCGTCTGGGCATTGGTGTGGCTATTCAGGTCACAGCGCCCCATCCGTGGCCACCATTTCTCCTTGAAGACATCCAAGTACCCGGCTTCTTGTAGTTCTAGAATCCTATAAAAGTTAGATCAGAAGAAACCAGAAGCTGAGAATGCCTACACAAAGCAAGGTGGAACAGAAAAAGTAGGAATTGAAAGTTGGCATGAATTGTAAACTGGTTTTTCTTTGCATGGTTAATGTAAGATAAAATTAGTACTAACACCATCAAAGTTGGAGAGTTGGATGGAGGCATCTTAATATTGGGTTGGATTAAAAAAAAATATGTTACCATAACTGATGCTGGTAGAAGCGCTATTGACAAGCAGGTGGCTCTGGAGAACCATGTGGTCAAGAGACAATCCTTTTGACTTTCACTCTTGAAACCTATTCATGACCTCTGCCCATTTCAGAAGCAAATCCCACAGATGGGTATGCAAATTCTACTGGTTCTTAGAACTTCTGGCAGTACACAATGACACAGCTATAATCATAAATATCAACAAAGCAAGGAATGTCCCTCCTCTAAGCAGGAGTTCCTGTTTATATGCAATTATTTTTAATTTTAATTTGCTAGAGCAATGATTAGAAATCCTGGTTTTCTCTGAGCACATGATGCAGGTTGACACCCCATTCTTTGGTTGCGTATGAAGGAACCCAGTTTCCTTACGAGGAACAGGAGAACAGCTCTGGGGTGCTGTCTTTGTTGTCAGGGTGATGCAGGATCACCCATAAGTATAGCAAGATTACCAACAGCTCTGCAAGATGTGGGGACATATTCTGAGATTTTCATAGAATTGTGTGTCATGTTATTTATGGATATAATGACTCATTTTACTTTTGTGAGTCATGGTGTTTGCATAGGCAGAGTGGTGCTGAAGCAAACATTGCATTAAACAATTCACTATACCACTGACCAAGAGCAGACCATATATAACCACTAATGGTGCATGGCTATTATTCTTAGACATGTACCGCTGAGCTCCCGGTTGTAGTATTACAGGAGCAACAAAGGATACAACTTAGCTACAGAGATGTGCTGCTTATAAATGACTGTAAATATTTTGGCTTTGCATATCTGTCACTGTAAAATACAACCCAAAACTTGGTATTTGCAGAAAACTATTTAGGTAGAGCAGATAAGGTTTTTGTGCATCCTGTAAAATACTTTGATTTGTCACTGTGTCATTAACTGTGACTATTTGGCTGGACTAGAACTCCTATCCAGAACAAGGGCTGAATCCAATCCAACCCCTCCCAATCAGAAAAAAAGAGAGGGGGAAAAAAGTATTTGTAAAGCCAAAACATTTAACAATAATGTGCAAATCAATTGGGCTTACTACAATATCCTGTTGAAGGAGTCAACCCAACTTTGTTATCGTGCAATTACTACAATAACAACATATTCAGTCCTTGGTTTTGCCCTTAATTTAGATTTCCTGCATGCAGGTAATCCAGTCCTTGCTAATTATTAAAAGTTTTGCTCATCAGCAGCCACTGTGTCTAACTGGTTGCATTGTGCACTTACCTACCTTAGCCTTCCATCTACCCCTCAATGGGGAGAGGTTGTAGTTGAATAAACACTGTCTCTCCCGCCTCCCTTAAGTCATCCAAATTGCTAAATTGGAGGCACCCTGAAGAAAGTATGAGAGCCCAGGTTCACCTGCAAAGAATTCAGGACTAAAAACGAAGATAAGGAACCGTGTCGACGCACTTGCTCTTCGGTTACCTTTGCGAGAAGAGATCTCTGTACGGGCTGCCATGTTGAAGAGCTAGCCCATAGCCTTTGCTACTGATGCTATTCCCAATCACGGTCACAGAGCACTCGTCGTCGGTCAAGGCTGCATATTCTATCACAGCCACATCCCACAAGAATGCGTAGTTGCCTTTCTTGGCCTGCAAAAAAAAAAAAAAAGATATAGAAAATAATTTTGAAAAATAAATCACGTATGCCCTTTTAGAATTGATCCACACAAGTTCTGGAGTTTTTCTCAAGTTCTCGGGCATAGCTGGTCAGACTCCAAGTGCTCAAAAATCTTTGTTTTTTTCCCCTCCTGTCCTGAGAAATCTTCCTCCAAATCAGGTTACATATAAGGTTTTGGATGTATTTTCTCAGCTCTGGGAAGAATTCTAAACCTCATACTTCCCACTTCCCCTCTCTTCTGAAGCTGATTGCCCCAGTCTGATTAGCAAAGGAAGATATGCCTCTTTTAGATGGCTCTTTTTAATTTAAGGACCGAATATGGTAGTGGCCAAAATTGTGGAAACCTTTTGGGGAAAGTGTATTTTTAAATTTGTATGCCACCCATCTCACTGTCATGTGATTCTGGGCATTGTATGGCAAACAAACCCAGAAAAATACACATCAGTAAGTCGACCATGGAAAATTTGACTTATTCTGTATCATCGAATCATGCTCAACTCCTAGCAACTAGACAGGGTAGATAGATATTCTCCATGGCGATCAATCTCAAACTTAGTCTTTCAGCTCATCCAATGGTGCATTCTGTTATTAAGACTGCTGTTATAAAGCACCCTGTTATTAACACAGCTGCCTGCAATTACTGCGAGTTCAATTCTCACCAGGCTCAAGGTTGACTCAGCCTTCCATCCTTTCTAAGGTGGGTAAAATGAGGACCTGGTTTGTGGGGCCAATAAGCTGACTTTGTATAAATATACAAAAGGATGAAGGCTATTGCTTAGCGCATTGTAAGCTGCCCTGAGTCTCCGGAGAAGGGCAGCATACAAATCAAATTTAAATAAATAAATAAATAAATAAATAAATAAATAAATAAATAAATAAAATTCATCACTGAGTCAGGAAAACTCAACCATTCTCAAATTCTGGAATTCCCTATTTTTTTAAATGTGTATTTAAACAGATACAGATTCCAGAAGCGGGAAACTCTTCCATAGATGCAAAAAACTCAAATGGAACCAAGTTCCTAGAGCTGCCCTTTTAGAGGATCAATGAAAAAGTTCAGCTTTCCCAAGATAAAGAAAATACTATACAGTTGTGCCCAAAATTGTGGAAACCTTTTGGGAAAAGTGTATTTTTGAGGGTTGATGGCTAATAACATCACTTTTTTTTTTTTGGAGTTTCAAGATAATCGTATTCCACTCCTGGAATGGCCTGGGAATAGCCCAGACCTTAACCCGACTGAAAATCTATGGAGCTGACTAAAGAAACTGGTTAGTCAGAAGCGACCCAGCTATAAAACCCAGTTAATAGAAGCCATCTTTCAATCTTGGTTTCACATTATAACAGCTGCAGAACTAAAAGACTTGGTTCACTCCATGGGAAGACTTTGTAAGGCCATAATTCATGCTAAAGTTTACCCAACTAAGTATTAACTGACATGGTGATCATTTTTGTATATCTCATTTTTTCTACGTGTTTCACTTTTCTTCTTTATACTGTAACTGCGATTCTAATAGCAAATCCTTCATAAAAGTGATTGCATTACATTCTTGATTAAATTATCTTTCCATTGATATATAATTTTATGGTACTACTCCCCCCCCCAAAAAAAGTGGTGTTATTAGGCAGTTTTAGAAAATACACTTTTCCCAAAAGGTTTCCACAATTTTGGCCACTACTGTATGTCTAGTCTTGCCAATCCTAATCTTGTGATGTAGTGCAGCCCAATGCAACATTAGCAGCTGATGACTGGAAGAATAGAGCAAAGATTCTCCCTGGCTAAGCAAATGGGAGATTTATTCAGATTACATAAACTATCCCTAAACATCTGCCAGCATCCCAAATAGACCAGATGGAAAACCCAACAAAATGAGCTACGGTAATTCTACTTTATTGCAAGGCTACATTAACAGAATCTTGAAAGTCTGAAAGTACAAATCTCCCACCATCTCTTTTTACCAGTGCCTGGTAGGGTAGGCTGAATCCTTTTTAATATTCATTCTCTGTTCCTTTATGCAGCTGTGGATTCACCCTCTCTTATTTGACTATGCCCTAGGCCAGGGGTCACCAACTTCTTTCGGACCTCAGAGACCACTAAATTCATAATTTTAAATCCCACGGACCATTAATACGATCTGCCTAATGACTGGCTGGATGGGCGTGGCTAGGTGGTCATGTGACTGGGTGGGCATGGTCAACTCAATGTCACTCATGTTGAGGGGTGCCTCGCCATCCTCTACTTACCCCTCACCTCCCAGCCACTCATTGCCTGCCTGCCCAGGCTCTTTAGGGCCCCAACAGGAAGCAGTTGTTGGATCTAAGCAGCCAACAGCTCAGTTCAAATTGGATCTGACTGAGAAGGAGGCTCAGCAGAAACACCTCACTGAGGACTACGAGCCTAGGCTTTCCAAGCAGAGGGAAGACCTGCAGGAGTGCAAGGCCAGGTACTGGTGCCTGGAGGCTCAGCAGGCTGAGATGGTCAGCCAGTTCCAGGCCATGATGCAGTCCCACTGGAACGAGGCCCTCCGGCTCTTTGCCAGCAGTGACACTTCCCTCCAGCCTTTACCCAAAGCCCCGCACCAGGAGGCTGAAGCAGACCCCAAGTTGGAATTTCTGCCCCCCTCCAACCCACACCAAAAGACCCCAAGGGGGGAGACTCTCTGCAGCAACACCAATGTTCATTGCATGTATCTGGCCTAGGGGCCATAGTTTGAGGACCCCTGATTTAGTGTAATATAAAAAATGGAAATAATTTTTCTGTGAACCACCAAAATTGTCTCGTGGACCACCAATGCTCCACAAACCACCAGTTGGTGACCACTGCCTAGGCAGCATTTCCAAGGTCATTCCCGAATTCCATTACAGCTTCACAGAAGCTCTTCCCAAATGCTGGTTTAGAAACTGCTAAGTTTAATTATTTATCATTACTATTAGATTTATTTGCCGCCCATCTCGCCTCGAGTTTGGAATTCATTCTCCAATTCTTGGAAAGAATAGAAAAGGGAAAGCACAAAAAAGATAGCTACCCTAATGAATGCGGTAATATAATGCAAAACTTTAATTAAAGTTGGTGGATTACTTTAATGTTACAAAGTAAAACAGCTCATCATAATAAAGCCTGAAACCAGTTTTATTTCAAATAAATAGCGTGTTTTCATTATCAGAAATTTGAGAAGCGATAAGCTGTTAAAGGAAGCCTCCACTGAATGTCATGGTAGAGGCAAAGAACTGTATTTTCCCACTAGATTCATTTAGCTAATATTGGCTTATATTAGTACACACCTACACAGCTCATCCGCAAATGTCAGTCTTAATTGGGATTCTAAACAGCGCCTGCAGGCTGTATGTTTGTAATGAATGTAAATCATTTCCGTTAACTTAAGATGTAAGAAATGTCTCTGGATGGGAATTCATGAGGAAAAAAAAAATAAGATCACTTCGCATGGTTAAAATAATCATTGACTTCCCAATGCATTTAAGTAGTATGTTGTTAAGTCTCTAGTGAATGTAAAAAGCGCAGAGGAACAGATGGCCTGGAGATTCTAATGCAAATAAATGAGGAATCATAAATGCAGACTTCCAAAGTATTAAACAAAAGTTTATATATTTTCTGAGCCTGGTCCTTGGGTGTTTGAGTTTTAGATGCATTCTTAAACAGTGTGTTGCCATAAACATTGGGGTGTCTCTTTTTCTTTGGATTTATGCACTGAATATTTTTATCAAGATGCTATTTTAACCAGGTAGCTTCTGCTGAAAATAACAGTCACTAAATAAGTTCTCCTGTCCTCTTTTATAAGAAGTGGAACAATACTATGGTCACCACACCGTATTTTCTTGCTGAGCACCACAATCGTTACTAGTATTTATGGATTAAGAGATTACATGGTAGGGTCTACTAGTGATTACATGGTTATCTAGTCCATGTGATTACATTACATGGACTAGATTACTCTAGTCTACTAGAGCAGAGGTGGCGCAGTGGTTAGAGTGCAGTACTGCAGCTACTTCAGCTGACTGCTAGTTCAGCAGATCAGTGGATCAAATCTCACCGGTTCAAGGTTAACTCAGCCTTCCATCTTTCCGAGGTGGGTAAAATGAGGACCCAGATTGTTGGGGGCAATATGCTATTTAGTACACTGTCTTTGGTGTAAGCCGCCCAGAGTCCTCAGAGAGTGAGCGGCATACAAATATGACTAATAAATAAATAATAAATAAATAAATTTAGAAACACAACAGCAATTTTCATCTAAAGCAATATTTAAAAGCAATCTTTAAAAGATTGATCTATTATCTTATTGTCTCAAGAAAATATGCTCCAATGTAAATTGTGCTTCTTTGAAAAAAAGTGGGTACAGATTTCTAGTCCCAATTCAGTTCATTTTGTAAACTACAATTCCAATATTTCTTGAGAGTGAGGGTTGGGGGGAATTCTAGCAGTTAAGCTTGACAGTATTGTTACCTCCAGTGAAGCCAAGGGAGGTGAAAGGGTGCTCTTTATCACATATGGCTTCTCTGAGACTCATTTGGAATATGTGGTAGAAGAAGACCATTGTTCTGTCCCCCCACCTCACATAGGCAGACACACGAGCAAAAGACGTCTACCAGTAATTTATTTTTACAAGCTGACCTGAATCCTTTGGCAGATAAAAGTTCTGGCAGCTACTTTCCGAATGCCTGCCAAGTTTCTTATCACCTCTAGAAACAGGAGTCAGTGTATCTGTAGTCTGTTGCTGGGGCAACCAAGAGTTCACAAGGCACAAAAGAATAGTCAGAAATCATTCACAAAGTCCAAGCCTTAATTCCGAAAGATATCCCATCCAAAGCTCACGATATGCAGTTTTTGTCCATCACAGAGCCTGCAGAGCAACCCCACCCACTTTTATCCCCTGTGGGGCATGGCTCAGTGACTCAGCAATCTCTGGCCCTTCCACACCTCTTCCTTTGCTGTGCACGCCTCTCCTTCCGATGCTGTCTG